CCGCGCCGGCCGCCGCTCACTGGCGCAGCGCCGCGGCACTCACTCGCGCCCGCCCCGCCGTTGGCTCCGCGCGGCCGCCCCGCCCTTGGCACCGCCCCTCACTCCTACCAATGAGAGCGCGAGGGAGGGCCGCGGGTCCCCCCATTGGCCGCGCTTGCCGGCTTCCCGCAGCGCTGATAGGCCCGTGAGGAAGCCAGTCATGTGGAACGTGCCGTGCGCCGTGCGAGGAGGCGCCTGCGCCTTTAAGGCGCGGGAGCGCGCGCAGCTTCCCGGGATCGCGCGGGGGAGAGAAAGGGAGGACAGGGTGGGGAGAAGCGGCGGGTGTCGGGATGAGCGAGCGGGCAGCGAGGTGCTCACCAAGTATTGTGGTGACAGTAGAAGCCAAAGTCGTGCCCGCTGCCCAGCGGCTGGGAAGCAGCGGCTGCCCCTTCTGCCCCAGGGCCGCGAGCCGGGCAGCGTAGGGAGAAAACGGGAAGGCGCCGCAGAGGGCGGGACACAGCGGAGCTCCCCGCTGGGAGCCGCCCGGGGCGCTGCCRCTCGCCCCCGGTGCCGGGAGCTTCATCCTCGCTGAGAGCGCCGCAGAGTTCGAGGCAATCTGTTGCASCAAAGCGTGTCAAAAGTTGCTTCTGATTTAGAAGTTATTCCTAGTTGGGAGCTGAGCTCCGTCTTCCCGGTAAAGGCATATCCCTGCTACCTGCCTGCCTTGAGGATCCCTTAGCACGTAAAGCACTTTACAAACTGCGTGATGGTGCCCGTTAATAGCAGTTATCGTCAATGTGMGTCAGTCCCTCCCTAGCTGGGGCTTCGAGCATCGGTGCTGCAAAGGCACCCGCTCCAGGTTCCTGCTGATGCCCCTGGCAAATGTCTGGCTGACCACAGCTATAACAACACTTTTTTTTTYTYTTTTCTTTTTTTTTTTTCTTCTGCTATGAATTGCTGCTATTTTTCCAGTCTGGAGAAGGGGATATTTCCCAGTGCGGCCCCGTTAACTCTCGGTGAATCAGAAGCACTCCGCTCGGCCGCTGTGTTGTAGGACAGAGTGATCTCATGCAAACCAGAAATTTATTCTTTTTAATCACAGGATGAAACACATGAATCCTACAAGCGTCGTTTCCGATTCCATCCTCACCACTCCCTTCAAGACTCCAATGTGCAGGAACACATCCCTCCCGCTCCTTGCCAGGGCATCCCAACCAGGCGGGCAGCCGAACCCACTCCTGCGCCCGCGCTCCCGGCTTCCTCGCGCGCTCACGGTGCCGGATCACAGGCACGTTCCCGCCGCTTTCCCGCACCTTCCACTCTCAAGCCCAGCACTTCCCGGGAACGCACGAGCCCCTGCAGCAGGAGGGCGCGCTGCATTCCAGGCAAGCCGAGGCAGCCCCAGGAAGGCTCCCGGCCGGCAGCAACACTGCGTGTTTGCTGGAAGCTCTGCAACAGGCAGCCGAGCGCCTCCTCCTTCCGCAGATTTTCCCCACAAACCGGAGCCCTGTGCCAGCCCCATGGCACCAGCCGGCGGCGGGCGCGCGGCCCCCTCCCAGCTCCAGCACCCTCCTAACGCCAAACCCCGTCAGGTCCCGTTCAYGCAGGGCCTCCCTGGCTCTTATTTAACCAAACTCTTCCAGGGTTTGCCCTGGTAAAGGATTCTCTCTCCTCAGTCAATCCCAGCTGAGCGACGCTCTCCCTCCCCGCCGCGGGGCGCCGGGCACAGGAGCGGCCGCCGCGGGGCTGCTCCAGGCGGCGGCGGCGCCGCCATTTCCCCGCCTCGCCCGGCCCGGCCCGGCCCGGCCCGGCCCGCGCCTCCCCTTCCGGGTCGGCGGCCGAGGCGGCGCAGGAGGTTCCGGCAGCGCGGGCCCGGTCTCGGCTGCGGTGCCGGTTCCGCCGCCATGGAGGCCGGGCAGGGCCCCGGCCCCGGCGGCGACGTGGGCGAGCAGGCCGAGGTAGCGGCTCCGGCCCGCCGCGGGGCGGACCCCGGGCCCGCGGTCACGGGGGGCAGTGGGGCAGGGAGCGGCGCCCGCCAGGCCCCTCCGTGGGGCGGCCACCCCGGGGTGGAGTTCGCGGTGCTCGGGGTGTCCCCCCCCCTCCTTGTGCGGTGGGGGGAAGTCCAGAGTCCAGTGTCTTTTTTTCCTTCTTTTTTCCCCAAAACCAGTGTGAGCCATGTGATGCATAGGGTCAAAAAGGCACCGTTTGTCTTCAATATAGCGGTGTGGCACCTAGGGCCCAGTGATGTGCACAGGTGCTAGGTGTGTCACCGAAGAATCCCCTCCAACCTCCCCYTTTTATTTATTTACTGTTTCTTGGATGATTCTCCCGCTAAAAGAGCGCAGTGCCCAAGCCGTACGTGCCGACGGAGGAGGAAAGGCGGCTCCTCAAGGAATGTAGCGAGGAGAGCTCCCGGTACAGAGGTAAGGGCGGTTTATTGACACGCTTGTTTGGCCTTTCCTCTGGCATGGGCTTTTGTTGTTTCCCGAGGGCCTGAAGAAGGACAAGGTCATCACATCAGCACAGCTTACCATGGAACTTCACACGGCCTAAAACTGTATCTTACACACCAACCTGTATTGGGTTTATCTTTATTAAAAGTTTGCAGGACCTGAAACGTGATGTRATTGCTATCCACTGTGTGTGTTTGGGGTTTTCTTTTTTCTTTCCCTCAAATCCTAGATTATTTCGGATGCTGATAGCTGGGTTAGCAGAAACTGGGACAAATGAAGAATTCGGCAGCTCACTTGCTAAATTTAGCACATGGGGCCTCTGATTTCTACTGGCAACCGGTGACCTATGAGGCAACTTCTAAGTGCATTGTGATTTTGAACTAGCGATTCAAAGCTGGCCAGTGTCGTCTTTATCTTTGCCCTTTCCAGCTTTGGTGTTCCCTGCCACTTACTCTGTAACACCTGGGAGCCTTTAGYTTGTTTGACAAAGTCTAGCCTTGTTTCTCATATTCCTGAAGTGAAGAGAATCGGGGTTGTTAGCAGTTAGACTACAGTTGATCCTGTTTTAGATCCTGGTTTGTGATCTCCTTCCTGGAGGACAAGAAGAGAGGAAGTTGTTTTTCTGTACACGTTTTGCTGTGAAGTTTTGGTCATCGGGGAAACTTGCAGCAGTGTTTGTTCCTCTTTGTGCAGAGGCTGAAGAAACACCGTGAAGGTGCCCTTGCCTAGAAGCCCCCARTTATTTTCTGCAGTAATTTCCCTTGAATTTCATGTTGGGACCYACAACAAGAATAGAGGTGTGTGTGTGGGGAGGTTGGTTTGTTTTTATTTTCTCCAGGAGCTGGTGCTGTCACGTGCTTTCCATGCACTGATATCTCACTGACGGAGTCTAAGACCCTTCAGTGTTTTCTGGATCTCCCGTTTTTGTTTCATGGTTTTGCACCTGTGCAGTTGTATTGGCTGTATTACATATGTACCACTTAAACTCCCTGTATGGCTGCCCTGACACCTTTAGCCCTTATTGGGCCTGGTTTTGTTGTTCAGAGTTGTCATTGTGCCAGATTTTGTTATTATTTAAGTATTATTACAAATATTGTTACAGTTTTGTGCATTTTCAGTCCRTTTATTCAAATTTCAAGCTATAGCMAAGCTGTTCTTGTGAAACTTTGTTTTGTGATGGCTTTCTGTTGGTAGCTCCTGTTTCAGAAGTTTTGACTCATCTTTTGACTTTTTCTTGAAAGTGAAACACAGCCAAGTTTGCCTTGGTATGCAGCAGCTGGGCTCCTCATCTGGTTTAGTGCCAGCACAATTTGTGAAAGAAAAGAACTAACTTGTTAGTTTGCAAAATATGTTTTACTGCTGTGTATTGTAGAAATTCTAAAATYATCATTTAGCCTGAAGTATGGACTTAATGTAATAGATTGTGAGTATCCAAGTGCTGTTAGCATCTAGTGCTTTTCATTATAATTTTATACTATAGAGTTAATAAAGTCATTGAGCTTTTTTGTGACATATACATTTTCAGTCTAGCTTAAAAAGTAATATAATTATGATATGTTTAAGTCTAATATAAGTGATTTGAATGTGTACTGCCAGACTCTTTACTGCAGTGTTTCCATATCTCGTATAGCCACGATAGTTTTAGGAATAGTTTCAAAGAAAGTTAATCTTCCCAATCCAAAGAAAATTAATTTTCCCAGTAATATCTGTTGCTTGAAAGAAGCATCCCATATACTTCCTGCTGCCTTTTCAATTTTTCCTTCCATCTCAAGTCATTTAATATAATGAAAGTCAACTTAGTTAAGCAAATTTTCATAGGCAGAAACTTGCTCCTGTTTTCTTCTTAATTTGTACAGTTTAAACTATAAAAAAAAAAAAAACTAAAAAAAACTGCTCTGCTCTATAYTTTACTGGCAACTCAAGCTGATCAAGTTACCTATTTTTAACCAGTGTATTTTTTTAATTAAAATCGAGGTTTTTGGTTACCAACATTTTTTTTTTTAGAGTCACTGTACTCTATATTAGAGTCTTCTGTCCTAAGGAAATGTGTGTGATTCTCAGCTTTGAAGTTCTTTTGCTTTGTGCTGTAGCCATTGTAGCTAGAARTCAACTTCACCTGCAGTCTTTTCTACTTTATCTCATCTGTTGTTGGTGCTTGTATTTTAGGAAGCACAAGATSTAATGACTGGAATATTTATCAGCCAGTACCACATCATATGTAGTGGATCTCAGAATTGAGAATGTCACACAACTTAGGCAGTTTATTATACATGCACACATAYACACATAGATGTATATGTGTAAATACACACACTTGTACAAATGATTTTCAGAAGACCTATCAACTCTCATAGTTAATTTTGTGTTTAGTTGAAAATGTGTTAGTATTTGTTGAAAATACTGAAAATTGTATTTTTAAGCTACTCTCTTTTTTTTCTTCACAGCTTTTCCTTTGGCTGCAGCGAGCATGCTTGCCACTAGTCTCTTAATTAGGAAAGGTAAAGTTTAAGAATACTCTTGYATAATTTGGAAATTCAGACTTTTCACTTACCTGATTTGTAGTTCCTGAAACTGAAGGAAGGAGGAGAAAAATATTAACTTAAAATTGAAATTCTTGGTCATTTTATACTCTTTGACTAGTACAATATCACAGAGATTATGAAACGGTTATTGTACAGTGTATGATATACTGTGTGTAATTCTTAAGATTTTTCTAATTTTATGGGAAAGTTAGGTGATCATTTTTCTTGAATTTGCTTTGTAGTGTACAAGGGTAAGCTGCTACCCCAGTGTTTGGCAAAATAATTGACTTCTTATGTTCATGTGAAGAGTTAATGTCCGTAATTATTAATACTGCTACTAATTACTTTGATTCCTCATTTTCAGGTATTCTAAGAGATAATTCAAGATTTGGCTCTCTTRTTAAAGTTGCATGTAAGTAAGAGCTTTATATTTGTTCATCCTGCATTTGCCATGTAGATTTTGGCATATAATTCCCATGAAACTAGTTGGTTACTCTGCAGGGGCCACATATCCTTATTTTGCTGCAGCTGTGCTTGAAGTTAGAACTCTATGGTTTGATCTATTCAAAATAAATTTTGCCTTCCTGCTATTGATTCATTCTAAGTAGAATCAGCTCTGGTAGTCAGCAGCTTCTTCTTTATCTCCAAATCTTAACTGCTCCATCTCATATTGCAAGAACCTCTGCAATATCAAGAACCAGCGCATGTTGTTTATTCATCTTCAGATTTTGCAGGWGATTTTGCAGAGGGTTTATTCAAAGGCTTTGCATAAAATTTTAAGATTTGAAATATTGTTGATCACCATAATGTAAGAGTTCAACATTATAAACAGATACTGTGAAAGTTTGCCTTATTATTTATTTTCCTTTCATATGAGTGTGCCAGGGATAACTATTTTTGCATAATGGAGCTTAAAGGTGCAAATGAATAKKGTCAGAAATAAAATCACACTCATTRGGAAGGTTGTGACCTATTAGCATTAAAGCATTTCCTCAGTTTATTATAACTGAAAATRAGTACAGAAAAATGCTTCTTTATATAGTTATTCTGTACTGTGTAAAACTTGTCTGCTGGGTTATAGGAGGAAAGAAACGCTAATAATGAYAATTTCTGTCTTTCTCGGTAGTTCCTGATCTATACGGAGTGGTCAACATTCTCTGAAATCTGAAACTATATTTTTTTTCTTTGAAAGTGATTATGTTTTAAGTTGGTAGATTCTGTTTAATATTTCTGCTTGATTTGGCTTATATAATTTCTGTTGTTTAAAAGTTTGTAGGTCTAAATGATATTCCCTAAAATATTAGAACAGCACATGGCAGCTGCAGTGATTTCTGCCTAAAGGACTTTGCTAGAGAACACGCACCCCTCCCTTCCTAATCTGAAGGTCATTATTCATGTGTCTTACTTGCCTCATTCATGTTATTTTAATATCTTTTTTTTTTCTCTCCTGGATATTGTGCATACACAATTATCGGAAAACTGTATTTCATATGAAGGATTTTGGATTCAGTATAATCAAAAACCAAATTAATAAATTAACCAGTCCAGTGTAATACATGATAGTAAACCAGGAAGTTGCCATCTTGCCAACCTGCCCAGATAGAGCCGGTTACTGTTACAGGTTGCTCCTCTGGGAAAAGGGTAAATCCCAAGATTTGTGCTGAAGGAAGTGCTGTTTGAGCAGATAAATTAATGAGAGAGGCTAGGGCTGCCTTTTGTTTATAATAAATTATTTTGCATGCTTTTTTTTTTTTTTAGTGTAAAACAATCTTATCACAGAAACCATTAGAATAAATAATAGAGATGCTGTTTCTTTGGCATTTATACACTTCTAGTTAAGGACCACAATTTTAATGCAATTATATTTTGAACCCAAGGGGAAAAATAAGTGGCAGCTGGAGCAGACAGAATATTCCTGATGCCAGGGTTGTAAGCAGTAAAATCCCAATCACTTTTCATTTCTCCCCTTTGATGCATTCTGGTGGGCATCTGGATTCAATTCGATTTTGTACTGGAAGAGTTTTCCCCAAACGTTTTTTTTTTTTTGCAGTAGTAACTCCATGAGTCATTTCAATAGTGGATTTTTTTTTCTCCAAGATTTAAATGGAAGGCTAAAAGACCTGAGTTAGGCACTTGTTGTTTCATCCTCATATTGTTTAGCTCAGATGCACTGACTGTTTGAAGTATCTTCCTGAAAAGCGCTGCTTGGAACATAGTTTGCAGGTTCAAATTATGTCTCGTAATTTAATTGCACATTCCTGCTGCAGGAAAGTGCTTCAAGGAAACCGTGCATTTCCCTCCGTTTCACCCTCCCAAATCTCAAAGAGCCTCTTCAAGTCAAGGCATTGTTGCTAGCTCATACTTGGATAATATCAAACTTAAGAGCAAAAGTCTCATTTTTGARTCAGTTCTTGCTTTCCAGGTATTGCTGATCTGAGCCTATTTCTGCTGCGTCCGTGGATTACGACAGTCCACCTTTGATAATGGAGTTTATGTCCCTGGGTGTTGGCAGATGCACTTACTCTAAATAACGTCTGTGCCCAACTCCTGTGAGGGGACTCTCATATCTAACAACATGGCTGAGCCAGTTCTATCTTTTGGTGGGATGAGAGCTGTTTTTTATGGTCTCCATGCGTCTTTCTCTACTTTTCTCCTTGGTTATATCTGGAAAAAATTGGGAGATGGTTCATTTTCTGGGTAATTTTCAGATTCCAGGGTGTTCTTATGCCTGTAGAAATGATTAATAACTTTTATTCAATAGTCTCCAAGCCCTGGTGGAACCTCTGGTTAGGCTGAGTGATTTATCCCATTGAGGGTATCCCTTTCAGGCCTCCAGTAGCAAAGCTTACAAGCTTGCTTGGGCTGCAGCATCTTCTAACCTCCCAGAGAGATGCTTCCACATGTCTGGGTTGGACGATCTCAAGAAAGAGAGACTTTCTCTTGGTAATTTAGTGACCTTGGCTGCTTAACTTTCTTTGCTAACTATGTCAGTTGTATTCTTGTTGGGCTTTTTTTCTCTTTATCCTGTGAGGGTCGTGTAATTTTTTCCTCTGCATATATTTATACACATTGAAGTATCTCAAGTTGTTGATCTACTAAACAGCTGTACCCTTATATTTCTCATTTGTAAACTTGTAGCTGTTCTTTTCCTCTTCTTGGAAAAAGATTTTAACATCCTCTTGAAAATACAAATATTAGGATAGGAATCACTATTCCAATGCCAGTCTCATTAGCACACCAGTTCACAAAGCAATTTACCACGTGAAGATCTTGGAGAATTAATGTTAGCAGTAACTGATTCTTTCCTGACTAAAAATGAGTGCGAATCTTTAGAAAATACTCCTTGCGTGTGAAATAAGGATCAAGTTATTTTTTCTAGAAAGTCAACAGCAAAACTGCTGTTGATKGCACTGAATCCTCCAGGCTCCTTCATACTCAGACCTGCTAAAACATGAAGGAGCCAAGTGATGGACATCAGCAGCTCTGGGTGCAGCAAGAACTCCWTCAGTTTGACCTCGTGCCCAGCAGGCAAAATGTCTCACCCGCTAACTTGAAAGCATTTGAGATTGCAGGAGTGCAGCAAATCCAGTTGAACAATTGCATCATCAGAACATACTGAGCCCATCTTAAAATTATTTAGGCTTCTCTTCCCGGCACTGAAAGCCTTCGGAGAATCTGACTGTTCTGATGAATTCATACCTCAGAATTTCYGGCTTTTGTTTATTCCCTACTGTTTTATCTTCTATGATAGTAAATTGCATCCGAATCTTGGGRGAAAATGGTTGAATATTTTGTCTTTTCTTTGTTCATCAAGTAGTAGTTGATATCATCTGATGTCATGTCTAGATCACTGCTGTAAGCACCTTCAAGTTACTCTTCAWCTTACTCAGCAATTCTTACTACCCTTTGTAAGCAAAAGCGAGAAGATTGCTGCTTTTCTTTTGTGTTAGATTTAAACTGGTATTTTCCTTTGTTGAACACAATATGTATTTTAAATGAAAATGTTAAAATAATGTGGAGTGTTATGATGCAACACACAAAAATCACTCCTGTTGTTGCTGTTGTTTGTTTCTTTTAAAAAAGTTGCTGGGACGTGTGGATACCTGGCTGGAAAGATATCGTACCTGCCAATCTGCAGCGAGAAATTTAAGAGGCTGAAGGATTCCCCCATAGGCGACGTTCTACGACAAGCTCAGAGGCATAGTTCGCCTAAGTAAGAMTTTAATTCTCTCTTAAATTTAAAACAACTTTTAGAATGAAACGTTTTAAAAACACTAGCAGAGATCAAGGCTACATTTGCAGTTTTCCAAGGTCTGGAGAGCTGCACCTTCCCTCTTCCCCACCCTGCTCTTCCAGATGTACCACTTCCAGACAGCTCGTCTCTAACAACTGGCTGGTTACAAAATAGTTTTTTTGAGCTCCTTACATACAACTACACACAAGTGTTTATTTTCTTGAGTAGAAGAAGAAGCATTTTACTCCTCAAAATGTATCACATAGGAAATTAACGAATTAATGTAGAGTTCACTTACTATGATGTAACATCAGAGGTAGCCTCTTTAGTTTAGAAGTAAACTATGTTAACCAAAATCAAAATAGTGTTACTTTCTGGATTTTTTTCCCATAGCTTTGTTTGATTGCAGTAGGAAGAGGGTGGAAATGATTTCAGTGTTTATCAAAGGAAAGAGCGCAGTAAACAATATCAGTGCAGGAAGAAGCATGGTGGTCAAACTTACTGCTGTTTGTTTAAATCCTTACATCTGTAATGGCATTATGCTGTACATATGAGAAACTCATCAGGTTCTTAAAAACTATTTCCTGTTTTGTTCCAGAACGTTTTCTGCTTGGGAGTGGTTTTTTGGAACATCTCTGACTTACACCCTTGTTTCACAACTGGTAGAATAGTCTTTGGGTACTGAGCAGTAGTCCTGCCGTATGTGTGTTAAAATGTGTTAATTATTTATGTGAAACTTGATTATATTCTTAATTACCTTACAGATTGTGGCTTACGAACGTTTTAAGTGCGGGTTCGCTTTTATGCTAGAATGTTTGATTTTCTTTTCATGGCACCAAACATAGTTGTAATAACTTGTCTTTTATATGCCTAGAGTATAAACTCAGGGGATTTGACGGTGGATGTGTCTGTCTCCTTCTCCCCAGTTCTTACTAAAAACCTCTTGCGATCACTACCTGGGTTGGCTCTAGGTGATACCATATTTATATGCTATCATTTGCTACACCATTAAGACCAAAAAAAATTTAATCTCTCATTCTTTTCTGTCTGYAAAATGTATTTTATTTTTTATATGACAAATTCTTTTATTTTCTTCAAGTCTACTGATAAATTCATATTTGTTCAAAATGTATGGTTGTCCGTATATGCTATCCTTTTAAGCCAGCAATAGAAGTCATTATACTTTTATGATCATTATGCATCTATTAATTAATGTGTTTTGGTAACTCTGGTTTGCTGTTCCAAATAGGTAGGGAGCTAAAGAGTGAGATAGTCCTTTAAAAATGAGTTTGCATGTATTTTAGAAAATAGCTTTTTGTTGACTCCATGATATTTACTGAGTACATTAATCTTTAGTTTTATTCTGCTTTAATGCTTTTGTTTTAATTAAAGTACAGCGAAGCAGAGATTTTAAGTAAAAAATGAGTAAAGATGCTAGAGATGTTCCAGAGGCCCCATGTGGAGAGCAGCCTGGGGCTGACTGGGAGAGACGTTCTCTTCTGTAGAGATTTGCAGGGCCATGCCAAGTACATAATGTCTGCTTTGGAGTATSAAGCATCCATTTCCATGATATTCTTTGAATGATCTTATCATTCTCAAAGGAAAACTCATTAATGTTTCTGATTGAAAAAAGTAATTCGACAACTTAAACTTCCATAGTTTCTGCTCCTTAGTTTTAAGTCTTTGCCCACCCCTCACCACTGTTTTGATGTTGATGAGTCRCAGCTACTTTTAATGAAGGATTATAAATTGCAATTTACTGCAAACCAGGCATTCAAAAATAAAATGTCCTGCTACCACAGGTAATATACACACACCAGGGGTACTGTTTGTCTGCTGTGTTTTGTCAGTCTGAGGAATCCCTGGGGGAAGGGATTGTCATTGTTGTCTGGTAACGTGTAAAATACTGTCCTTTGTTCTGGTGGTTTTCAGGCATGGATTAAGTTTCTGGCGGGGAAGGGAAGAGTTTGGGGGAAGATGCTGTACAATCTCTGCAGTATTTATTTATTTATTTTTTTTTTTAAAGATTCATGTTGTTGGAAAATAGGAAAATACTGGAATGAAAACCTTAAAAAGAATATGTTCTTTAGCTGGACTCAATGCTATTCTTATAGTTCCATGTTTAACTTCAGTATTTTTGTATTTAATACGTAACTTATTTTCTTTCTTTTTTTCAGCCGTTTCAGTCGGAAATCTGAATTTTCAGACATGCCTTCTCAGGCATTTACTGAATCTTCTTCTCAGAGACCTGGGTCCCCACTTGCTTCTAGCTATTCAGATGATTATAGTTCAACAGATCGTGCTCTCTCTAGCTATGAACCTGTTCCGTTCAGTGCTTCCCTGAATGAGTCTTCACCTACAGGAATTACTGATTACACTGTACAAGGTTTGGCTTACCTTGGTATTTAGCAGTAGTAGTTCTTGCCTTTCTCTCAAACCTATCTCTTTAAAATACRTGTTTTCATACTTGGCAAACAAGCAAGTAGAGTGGTTTTAAATRAAACAAAGTTTCCAGAATTGTATATATTGACATAGCAAACAAATGTCTGAATTATTTTTTGTTCTAACTCTAAATTAAATACGTTTCTTTTTTTTTTTTCTGCAACTCGAATTGCAAGTAAAGATTATAAATTAATTAGCAAGGTTTAATCTGATATGAAATTAAACCTACATAAAAAAACACCTTAACATCAATTTTTTGGTCAAAATGAGGGTGAAAAGGTTTATTATCCCTCTCGCTCCCCAATAAACCATAGTCTCTGCTGTTCRTCTTTCAGAGATTATTTCATTTATACCAGTGGTGGTGCTACAACTGTATGTTACTTTAATTAACATTAAACTTCTTAACGTAACAAATGTTTGCGTCTCTGAGAACTGGACATATATTGTGTTCTGTTTTGTAACAGCTGATTATGTCACTGAAAACTAAACTGCTTTTAAAGCAGTGTTATGTGCAGCTGTTCCTCTCCTACTCTATGAACTCTGTCCTCAGCTATTGCAGAGGAAACGCATGATCCTGGATTCGGACCTTGTATGGTCCCCAAAGGAGGAAGTTGCTGTTAAATAGTTAGGTATTTTAGATTAGTGTTCTTTTGTTGTTGTTTTAACTCCTCTGTGGAAAGCATTTTAATTAAAAAAAATAAGCCTATTTGTGCGAGTTCTTTTTAGCTATTTAAAGTATTAGATATGAATGTATCAAGAAAAGGATAGCTGAACTTCATCACACGTACCAACAGTTGGTACGGCCTTAAATAGAGGACCGAGATCCTGCATTATAAACTTAGAAACATTAAAGTTTATCGCATGACAGACATGACCCTAATTGGCTTGTGTTGCAGAATTTGAAGCCTTTTAAGAAACTGATTTTTTTTTTTTTTCTCTTTCTTTCTCTTTATTGAGCTGTAGTGACTAGGCATGGTAGAAGAGGTCTGGCAACCTGAGGTTATAATCAAGTTATGGTGTGTGATACCCTTTCCTTTATCTCAGTGCATCTTTTGTTTTCAGAGCCTGCTCCAGTTGCAGAAGAAACTCGTAAGAAAAAAGGCATCTCATATGAGGAATTAAGAAATAAACACAGAGAAACATACGAGGTAATGTTACCACCAAAGGCAGAAACTCCAAACAAGTTTTCACGGGAAAAGCCAGCTAAAGAAGGTAATATTCTGGTTTACTGCAATACATAGCAAGTTTAAATATAAGATGTAATACTAAGCATAGTTTGTAACTGTTAGGCTTGATGTTACATACCCTTTAGCTAATTTATAGTTACGATATCAGCAACCAGTAGCTGATATGCAATGTGGTCTATAGTTTAATGTTTCAAATTAATTCTCTTTTTCAAAAACATTAATCTTCTCGTAGCAAATTACAGTTCCATATGGTTTGGTGCCAAACTCTTAAAAAACCCTCCTAATCTTTAATATGTGAATATTCTGAGCAACCTCTTTTAACAAAGAAATCTCTGAGCTCGGGGCTCTCCTGAAGAGCTACAGCTCTGGAAGGGGGTGTATGTTTTAGATAGTATTGTTCTCTCAAAATAGAATATAGCTGATGGCTTTGAAAGGGGCGTTATTTATTCTTAAGAATTGTTTCATGTGGAATTAGGGGATTTCTATAGTGGCATTGTTTGTAGAAGTTCATTATCCTCCATTAAAACTCAAAGGAAGGAAACAGTATTGGCAGCAATATTGGGATTTGTTTTTGCAGCAGAAAAAAAACCCTTTGCATAGCAAAATAAGAATGTGATAATCTGAAGAATAAGGTGCCATTCAGTTACTTTTTTGAAAAGTGCTTAAAAATAAGTCCTAATAGTAATTTGTAATAATATTCCCTAGAACAATTTTATTTAGTGTGATATCTGTGGAAAAACTTACTAGTAAGAAAGCTGTTTGACTGTATGCCATGCTATGGGACTAGTCAACTGAATCACCGGGGTTTGTATTTATGCCCAATCTACTTGAACTGCAACATGACTTGTAGGAATAGATGAGATTTTATGCTGGACATGTTAATATAAGTAATTACATAAAAAAAAATCCCAAGAGTCTGGAGCAGTAATGGTGAACTTGGGAACAGTATTGCTTATGAATGCAAACTTATTCCATCCAYGTGGAATATGTTTTCTGGGTCTTTGAACAGTTCTACCTGATTTCTAAATACAAATTATGAACAACTGTATGATTTCATTCTGTTATTTCAAGAATAGGAGACTTCCTTTTCTATAATGTAAGTATAGTAAATGAGACACTCAGAAATCATTGAAGGTTCAGGTTGGTTTGTAGATTTTGTTTCTTTGTTTGTAGATTCAGTCAGCTGACACTTCACAGATTTGCAGAATGTTTTCTTTTTTAAGAAAATAGAGAGGAAATAGTCCCAAGTAGAAAGCCTAGCAGTGCAATGTGGAAACCAAATACAGAAATCTCACTRTAATGATTCATTCTGCAGCCCTTGCCAAATTCCGTGGCGAGTCTTGTGGCTCTGAAATGAGAGCATGCATTCATCACTTTATTCTCAGATATTTGAAGGCCTTTATAGTAAATGCTAATCAACTCTTACATTCTCTCTCTCTCTCTCTCTCTCTCTCTCTCTCTCTCTCTCTCTCTCTCTCTCTCTCTCTCTCTNTTTTGTTCCTGTGTGGTGTTTGTTTCTAGGCAGATTTTGAATGTAAAAGTACATTGAATAATGCATTGAGAGTTTGTTTTGTTTCTTACAAAGGTGTATTTGGTTTTCCTCTTAGGAGAGAAAGAACAATGAAAGGAAAAAATTCCCAAGTGCATTATATTTAAATTTGCAGTTAAGCGRTTCTGTGGTGCTGCCTGCTGAGTTCATAGTTAGCTTCCTGGCCCTACTGGATATAATCGTTTTTCCTACCTGTCCCTACCTAATGAATCTTTCCCTCTGCTCACCCTTTATTTGCCTCTTGGGGGAACATGAGTAACAAACAGGAGATGCTGCCGTTTGCCCTGTGTTGCAGGGATGTAGGGGAGAACTACCCCAAACTTACTGCTGAAACCAGCTGCTYGTGCCTGCTTCTGTGCCCTGAGGCAGCCCCAGTTGGGCCTCTGCACAGGGAGCTGCGTTTCCCCCAAATAGCCATTTTCCAGGAGCGGCCGCTGGCACCCCTTTCCTTGGGATCCACTGTGGGCAGATAGTGATAAAGGTTTAGTGGTAATGTAAGCTGCGATTAGATTTGTGCGAGGGTGGCTGGCTGCCATAAACGTGCCTGCTACGTCATGCAGAGCCATCCTCTACTGCCAGGGATGCCGTGGACCTAGAGCTCACTTTCAAGCCGGCGTCTGCTCCGTGTTCAGTTCCGTGCGGTCCCAGGCATGCGAACAAATCCTTGGGACCAGCACCCTGTTTTTTCCCTCTCTGACTCACTGCTGTGCTAAAGGAAGCTGCTAAATAATAACGGCTGGGAAGTTTCCTAATCGGCCTCGCTGATTTTTGTTTGTGTTTGAATGTGTTTTTTAACTGTCCCGCATCCATCCAGCTGTGCACGTAACTAGATTATGTATTTATCGTAACGTCCCTTGCCCGTTTCCTCCAATTGTCTTGGTTTCATCCACAGGCTGCATTTATTTCAAAGTAATTACAAATTCTGTAGGGCAGGAATTTAGCACAGTGGGCCTCTTGACTGAATGCTCATTCAATAAAGAATAATGAATAACAAGCCAATTCCATTCCCTGTCTATTCCGAGGTAGCTTTAATGAGCTGTGTGTGCTGCTGTGACTGACACGCTGCCCGCTTGCTGCTTTGAATGATGATGTGTTTCATCAGGGCTCTCAGTGCTACATTAAAAAGAAACTTTTGCATTTAAACTATTTCATATTCAACTGCTGTTTTTTCTTTTCCCTAGTTAAAGTAAATAAATAYGGAGATACCTGGGATGAATAAGAACTGAACAAAGAAGCTGACAGAAGATCCTTCTCTTCAGTAACTTGAACCTCACCTATGTTAGTCCTGCACTTTTGGTGTGCTCTGCCAAACACAATTGTAGTTGAAATAAAGGAGAAGAAAATCCTGACTTGTTGAAAGATTAAAAAAAAATGCATTTAGGCTTATTACTATGTAATTTTGCATAAGTGGGAAGCCAGGCTAATGTGAAGTGTCATGATTTTAAACTGTGCTGTTTCTTAAGAAGAGTGAGAAGGGTAACTRGCAATAACTGATGCTATAAACGTAGAGAGTAAGATAAAATGTATATAAATAAATGCAATCAGAGATGTGCTGGGGAGGTAAAAATTACCAGAATCTTCTTAAATTTTCAAGGCTTGAATTAAAAGTTACCTGTAGAACTAATCTCTCACTTTATTTTGTATGAAAGTGATGTGCTGGAAACCTCTACATGCTCTCATGCTWGGTTAGTAAGTGTTGCAGTGGCATTGAGGAGCCAAACAAAACGCGTAAGTAGAATTGGGTGGCAGCTGCTTTCAGACAAGTAGTCTGAATGGCCCACACTGGATCTTGTAGGACAGTCATTTAAGAAGAAAATCATCCAYGAAACAGCAAATACGTGAAATACCTCCATTTAAGTGCAGAAAGCTTAGCCTGTTAAGCTTTGCAAGAGTTTGAATGGCATCTTGACTTAATCATTGTGAGATTAGCTTTATTTCTTACCTCGCGACGAAAGGGATGGGTTTGAGACTGTTTCTGGGGAGAATATCCTGCTGTGTGGAACACTGGGTTACGTCTGCTTCTCAGAAAAGAGCTGCATTGGCAGTGCTGTCCTGAAGAGCTTGGTGTTCGCCTAATCTGTCTTCATCAAAATAATGTTGTGTTTTCTTCCACTGACATGAAGGTGTTCTAATCTTCCAGCTGCAATTCTGAGCTGCTGTTGCTCTCGCAGTGCTGTATTTATTTTGGCTCTTTGGCTATGGGTGAGTGAAAAATGCTGAAGTTAATAGCATAAAAGCATTGCTGACGTATTTATTAGAGATGAAAAATAACTTAATCTACCAAGGAGAAAATTCTTGSTGATCATATTGACTCAGTGGCGGAGCAGCAGGAATGAGAAGATTATTTAGGGTAGGTATGGAGCAAATGACCCAAAAATTGGGAGGGAAGATGAGAATGTGTAAGGAGCCACTGCTGGTCATAACCACCAGGATAGGGAGACTCCTGCTGGAGGAGCTGCTCATCTGGAAAGCAGGGTGCTGGTCAGGTAGCCTTGAAGTCGCATCAACCGTTTGCTCAATGTGATCCATTTCTAGGGCTATAAGGGGACAACTGTGAATGTCTTTCTTTCACAAATTAAAAATAAAAGGTGTTTATATAATGAGTATTGTCTTAAAGTCTTGCACTCTGTGCTTAAGATAACTTACATAGTGTATACATAAGGTTCCCAAGGTGAATATGTCTAGTGCTGTATCTACTTAGTATCTTTAGGGGAGGATGTTATTTTTTTTTTTCTTGTTTAGGAACATGTATGGTTTATAATCGATCAGGTCAAATTCTCTGGCTTCACATGACATGTCTAATAAGTGTTCAATGCAGGAGCTTTGTGATTAGAGTTGTTAATTTGACAGCATATGGAAAATCAGTATTTTGTCTAAGCAGCCTGATTGCCCTGGGCTGGGCTGAGCCTCTGCAGGACAAAGCGGGGATTGCTGAGGCTTCTTGGCTGCGCTCCCCACGACACATCCCCCTTGTTTCAGAGGGGCTCTTGCCCCTCCTGATGCTGTAGCACCTACCCCGCTGCGCAGCTTCACTGCTTCTACAGCCCTTGTTGCTGCTCGGATTCCTCCCCGGGAGCTCAAGCGGCGTCGGGCCGGTGCGAGCGTGGTTGTTGCTGAGAACAGTGTGGGCTCTGTGTGAAGAACAAAGCAGAATGGGCACCGGCTGCTGGCACCCTTGGGCTTTAGCTGTAGCTGCGTGTGCAGCTGACCCGCAGCGTGGTCTCGGCATTCAGTTACCAAGGCAGCTGTGTTGCTGCCTAAGTACAGCTTAACTCGCCACGCTGCAGACATCAGAGCTAGAAYTGCACTTACCGTTTGTATCTCCAATTGTGAGATCTGGCTTAGTGACAAAGAAGTAAACAAAAATATTTTAAAGCCTTAGAGTAGCTGCCTTATGGACCTGCCTATCTGTCAGCTAATGGGGCCCAGCTCAATTATTTATATTTATTACAAAGCCARCCACTCATGTCCCACACACACAAATAAAATTGATTTGCATGAAAAGTTAATTCTTGCACATCACTTCAAACACTAGTAAATGAGGATGAATGCTTAGCTATTACATTGCTTTAAAAAAAATCAAAATGCTTTCATGAATTTTTAAAAAGTCTTTAAAATAAGCAGTTGCATGGCCAGTTAAAAGGAGGAGTGTCCTRAACTGGGTTGTTACCTGCCTGAGCACAGGAGGAGGTTTGTGTAAATGCATCACAGCTCTTAACGGCTGGTAAAGCTCCACCAGGAATCCCTGTCCCCGGTGACCTTGTCTTCTCCCACTTTAATGGTGGTGGTTATAGCTCCCAAAACAGAACATGATCTGACCTTTTCTGGTGACTGTTTCTATTAGAGTTGTTYGGAGTCCATCTCAAAGAAAGAGAAGTGTAAAGGAAAATACTTGTACATGCTGAAAGCTTTAGTAGATTTGTGGGAGCCTGGAGAATAGCCAGTACTATTTCAGACTAAACTCAAATTTCACGGCTGTGTGAGGATCGGGACTTGTCCCCGGTTTCCTGGGGGCTGGAAGAGCTGCCGTGTGTTCTGCGGGGGCAGARTTTCCACTCGGTGCTGTTAGTGGGGCCGGGTCCTGTCGCCTCCTTGGGGCTCGTCCTGCTTCACAGCCGTGTTTGCCACTCGGCTTTCTGCACCGCAGGCCGAATAAGCAATCTGAGAGCTGCTGCTTGAGACACAACAGTATAAAACCCTTACTTTCCTGCCATTGCCTGCCTATTAAATGCTTTATAGAAATCAGTAAATCACGTTTGGCAGTGAATGGGGTGAGCTGCCTCAGTGCTGTTCCAGCCTCYTGCCTCGGGTTTGCAGCAGTTCAGCCAAGCCAATGCAGCTTGGGATATAAATGAGCCTTAAATTTATACTTTGGTGATGCTGTGGGACTCGTATTTTCAGGATATAAAGTCTTGGCATGAACCGTTTCCAAAAATAGAAATGTTAATTCCTTACATGGAAGAATACACATTCTTCTCTATTCTTTTTYTAATCCACAATAGATGCACATTTCTAGTGCAATAAATATATATATATATAGTAGTGATAAAGCTAAAATTAGTTTCTGTGTGAATCTACTGCCACAATGCGTTTTGTTTAATGCCGTATTGGGAGCGAAGGTGCCGACCCCAGCTCTGCTGGGCTAGCTGGCGCTTCGCCGTGGCGTGACCGGCACAGGGAAGGACGAAGGCGGTTGTGACAGCTGAACTGGGCGCAGGATTCGGGAAGGAGGCGCCCGTGGCCCTCGCCGGGGCCGCGGGGTGAAGGCCCTGGCAGGGGCCTAGGCCCTGTGACGGAGCAGCGGCCGCCCGCGCACACCGACGGCTCCAGGCCTGGCCAGGACGAGGGGCGCTCGGCGCAGAGCACCACAACACCCCGACCATCACGAGCTGCTCGAGTCGGGGCACCAGGCAGGGAAGGGCAGTTATCCCAGGACAGGCGTTTGCCTCCAGAGAAGGTTTCTGGAGTGAATTGGGAAGCCCTGCGTGTCGGACAATCCCCCGGGCGCAGGAAGGAAGCCTGGGCTTGGACGGCTCGGGAGCAGCAAATCTCAGTCCGTGGCTGATGCAAAGGATGGGAAGGATTAAAATGGGCCTCCRGGATGGAGGGTTGAAACTGCTTCCTGCTCCGAGCTACCTGAGCCTGCTGGTGTGCCTGGCCTGGACAGCATTGCTGCCGAGTGCTCRAAGTGCACGCCTCGGAGGAGAAACGCTTGAAAGATCAAAGGTTTTGGTCTTTCAATGCCAGGCTCTAGCATCTGCTTTGGAGGTACCATTGCCCTCAGAAAGCCTGAACGCCAAAGGCAACAAGAACAAGCCCCCTTCCCACCTTACTCCCTTCGTAGCAAGGGCGTGCTTAGTTTTTAGCTTACAGTCGCTTTGAAACGCTTCTAAAACACAGCTCTTTTTTTTCTTACTGCACTGGATGCAATGTCTGTGGCGTGACTGCAAACAGCCAAGTCCCCAAGAAGAGCAGCGCTTTGCAGCTGAGGTTAATGCCACAGCATATTTCCTCTTCAACCTCAGTCCTTTTTTGCCCRCAGTTACATAAAGCGGCTTGAGGCTTTCATAAAGCTGCTGCTCTCATGTTCATTGAAGCTGAAGGCTCCATTTTCTGCCTTGATTGTAGTGCTCCGATATGTAACTTTTCCATTTCTCTCTAGGCTATGAACTTCATCYAAGCTGTTATATCTTCAAGCACAGAGTTAAACTCCTTAGTTGCTGGGTGATGGAAGTAAGCTCTGATTTAGAGATATAAATGTTCCATAGGCAGTAAGGTCATCTGTTTTTTTAACCATTTTTTTAAATATATTTCTGCCAAAGGGACAGAAAGATATTGCAGGAAAGTACTAAGAAAAGTCTTAGCACCATATGAACAATGCTTGATCCTTTCTAAGCTCAACTGCTTCTCCTCCTGCAGATTCTCCCCCTTATTCCAGACCAAAATAAAGATTACTTGRAACAGCTGCACACCTCAGACCTCCCTCTCTCTCATTTTCTTTTAAATAAATCATCCCTAATTTCAATGTATTGATCTTCCTCTCCAGTTAGAAAGAAAAAAACACGCTTTAGGTGACTTGTATAGAATGCATCCAGCTCAGCAATTTGTCCCATTATGATCACGGCAAGAGTCAATATAGTTYAGCCCCCTCAACTGTGCACAGCTGCTACTGACTTACACTTCTGAGCCCTCTCCTTATTTTCAGTTTATCCTCCCCAGTAGAAAAATCCTGAGGGGTTAGAAAAACGCATTAGGCAGGTAAAAAGTTCTCCAGCTCTTCCTATCTTTCTTTTGCCTAAAGATGATAAATCATCAATACGCATTTAAATCCACCTTTCTGAGCCATGCAGTATGAGTACTATTTCCCCAAGTGTTTGTGTGTTCCTCTAAAATTTCTACCAGGACCTACAGAGTATTTCTACACATCTCCCTGCCAGATCTGAAGGGGTTTACAAATATATCTAAGCTCTAGACCATCCAGGCCTAAACAATCCAGCATTTGTCTGATTCCACCTCCAGAAAACCTGGCACCTCCAGACACCAGGAAAATTCCATCCCCTCTGTAAGTCAAAGCACAATAAAAATTGTTCAGCTCCAATTTTYTGAATTTGAACAATATGCTACGGACTGCATTGCTAGTCTTCCCTCTCCTTTTATAGTTAGTGCTGTTAGAACAGTGAGCTAACTTGCATTTTACACTATTTATGTTTTTTATGTTGAAGAAATGTTGCAACATCACTAGTATCTCATTAGATAGTTGTTGCCCAACTGCCCGCCTGACCAGGAATGATTTTGTTGGTCAAGCAGTGCAGAAGAAATAGTATTTTAACAATACTAAATAATAACCTTCCCAAAAATGCATTTAAAAAAATGTTGTTTTTACTCAAGCCAAGTACAAGTATTATGTACATTCTGGCATTTGAAGAACTTGAAAATTATTCAGCCATATTCCCCCAAGCATAGAAAGATACTTCTAAAGACCTTCTGAAGAACAGTTTGCCTGTRACTTACCTCACTTTTTCTTTGCTCTACACTAATACAGCACTAATACACGTAACATTGAGAATTTTTTTTTTTTAAACAGCATCACAGCCACCCCCAAACTTGGATCAACACAATTAGCTAATCCGAGTGTTGCCTCTCGCACAGGACAGGGGCGGGTATGGAGGCTGCTGCCTCCATGGCAGCCGGTGCCTCCAGGGCCTGCAGCCTCCAGTGCTGCCTCCCTGCGCACAGGGGCCCCGCGCTGCCCTCTCTCCCCAGCCCCTGCGGTGTCAAGCCAAGGCTTGGCTTGTCAAGCCCCTTGGCCKGGCACCAAGTTAACTKGGWGGCAGCAGTGCCCTCGTGGCCAAGGAGGMCCATGGAATCCTGGCTRCATCAGGAGGATGTTGCCAGCAGAGCGAGGGAGGGGATCCTGCCCCTCTCCTCAGCTCTGGTGAGGCCGCACCTGGAGTTTTGGGGGCTGTTYTGGGCTGCCCAGRACAAGAGGGATGTGGAGCTTCTGGAGAGGGTCCAGCAGAGGGCAACCCAGATGATTAAGGGAGTGGAGCATCTATCTTATGAGGAAAGACTAAGCAAGCTGGGCCTGTTTAGCCTGGAGCAGAAAATACTGAGAGGGGATCTGATCAGTAYGTCTAAATACCTGAGGGGAGGATGTAAAGGTGGTGTCAAACTCTTAGTGGTGGCCAGTGACAGGACAAGGGGCAATGGATACAAGTTGAAACACAGGARRTTCCATCTCCATGTGAGGAAGAACTTCTTTCCTGTGAGGGTGACAGAGCCCTGGAACAGGCTGCCCAGGGAGGCTGTGGAGTCTCCTTCTCTGGAGGTCTTCAAACCCCACCTGGATRYCRCCCTGTGCCCCGTGCTCTGGRTGTCCCTGCTGGWGCAGGGGRTTGGGCTGGAYGATTTCTAGAGGTCCCTTCCAACCTCCACCATGCTGTGCCTGTGTGATTCTGGGCCTGGGTACACAGCACAGCGCCCTACGCTTCCCTCACTCCTGAGCAAGAGCAGAAGAAACCAGCTCAAAAACGGGCTGTAGCAGCAGGCACAGTTTAGGGACCAGAAAGCTGCTGAACTGTGCAAGGTCATTTAAACATCTTTCCACTCGTTCCTCTGATGTAGAAGACAAACATTTCAGCTTATGGCACCTTGCTTACTACACAGAGATTTGCCAGCATCCAAGTACAATAGACAAATTTAATTTCTCAGCAGTAAGAGCTAAATTACACMGAAATGAGAAAAAAACTTGTTGTGAAGAAAGRGGAGAAAGGGAAAAAAATGAAAGCGCATTGCAAGAAATTGGTGTTTTCAAAAAACATTATGCAGCTATTCCAGAAGAGCTGATTTACACCAAACCAAAGACTTGATTTCTTCTCAATAAAACATCGTCTTGTAAGAAGAAGCTTGTTCATAGGATTTTTATCATCTTCACCACATCTGCAAATTGGATGAAAGGACCCATTATTTAAATCATTAAGCTGAGTGCCATCTTATTTTGCATATAAAATGTGCAGTTTCCTTTTTTTTTTTTTTTTCTTGAGAACTCTGCAAAATCTCTGAGGATAAAAAAAATACCCCTGGACTCATTAGAATGAGGATGGTTTTAACGAGGCTGTTCTGCTAGGCAATGCAAGAGCACGTGCAGCTCGGGAGCAGGGAAGGACACTCAGGAGCGTCTCTGCCACTCGCTACAAAAACAATGAATGAGGCCTGCTGGGCTATATAGGGAATATGAAAAGTTTTGATTAAAGTATTAAAGWAGGTACGAGTATTTTTTCTTTCATTGTTTAGCAATACATAAAACAACACGTGCTTACAATATGCATGTTCCTACATTTCAAACACCTGCCTGTCAAAACTGATTCTGTCTAAATTTAAAATACCATGTGGACCCAAATATAATTACTTTTTCTTGGACAAAAATCCATTCATCTTGCATTTGTTTTCAAACTAGGTTTGTGGACAAGCTCTGCAGACCTTGGGAAAAAGCAGGCAACAAGGCCTAAGATAYATGGCAAGGAGAGTCTTTGATGAGCACCTGACCTGGAGAAGGAGGAAAACCATCAGCAGGGCCTGTAGCATCCTGCATTCCTGCCTCCTTACGGCTGCCAGACTGCTTTATATCTGAGACAATTTTGAATTTTAAAGCTAATTAATACTTATGTGCCAGCTAAATACTCCCAGCTCACTGCATAGGCTAAAGGGAGAAAGGACCAAAAAGGGAGATGTCTCCTGTGCTTGGATTTAGGGTTCAACAGGTTCCTGCTCTGGCAAATACTTGCCAGACAACAGCACTTGGACATTAAGACTCGATGCCACTACTCTTGCAGCTCACTTGCAGGAGCTCTGGGCTCTGTACCTGAACAGAGAGGAAACCTTTACTGGAGGGTACCCCTTGCAAGGCACTAAACTAGCCCCGTGACGCAAGGGCTCGGGTGAGCTCAGCACCACGGATGGACTTTGGTGCCACTCACAGTTGCTCACAGTGACACAGCTCAGAGGGAGAGAGGCACCATTTCAGYATCTCTAACCTCCTACCCAAAGCAGGCCGAAGCGTCCCAGTTCAAACATTCCCATGTTCAGCTCCCGGTCTGAGCCACACTCAGGGCCACAATGAACTCCCACATCAGGATTTCAGCGGGGCGCTCTGCTCTCCCCAGCCACGCTGTTTGCAGCCCCCTCACACATCCTCTTGCTGGGGAGAATGTAGGACAGCTGACAACAGGCAGAACTTGTGAAAATGCCTGCAAAAAGCCCAGCTGCTGGCTTGYTTTTCACAGGCAAAGAGTGGCAGTCCTTTTAAAAACCCATCTGCTTCCACTTTAACCCTGTAAACCCTCCTTGTTCTCAAGGGCAGCTTCCCCTTTTCAGGGTGAAGGGACCACAGGGGTTGTCCCTGCCCACCCTGCGGGTGTTTTTTCCTCCATTTTTCACCTCCAAGTCTTTCCTGGATAGCAGCCCTTTAAATATTGCCTACACTAAGGCTGTGGCCAAAGAATAACAGTACTGCAAATAAATAAATTTATTTATTTATGTACACTCCCAACTGTCTCTGCTTTGAGAATCTCAGGATGTCAGTGTATTCTAAAAATATCAACATCATCTAACACTATCTGTTTCTTAAGGAAAAAAAAGGGGGGGGAAATAGAAAGGAGTTATATTTGTTTTCAAACGAGTCATCAAACAACTCTGGTGAATTCTGATCATGTGAATTAACAGTGTTCTTAATGAGAATGCCGCAGCTAAATTAGATATTCCTCAGAAATGGGGAATTTTAAATTAACATGAAAGACAAACATGAAATAAAATTTAATTAGTAAAGTACAGATAGAGAAGATTTACTCAAATAATCCTCAGATTTTAATTAAATAAAATCCATAATTTTCAATATCTTGCTCAAAGGTTTCAAGAAAAACTTGAAAAACAATTAAAAAATCATTTTAAATGCCAACTATGCCTACCTGAGACTACGCTGTTGAAGGCACTGGACCCTCTTCCTCCTTTGATCCCTTTTTTTTTTCGCATTCTTTGCAAGTATGATGACAGTGCCTACAATATGGAAGACAAATAAAGTACACACAGGAGAGGACAACTGCAGGGTATGTGACCTGATGTATGCTACAAAGGAAGACCCAAAGGGCCAAGGGACAAAGATCAGGAGCCACTTGAGAGACACAATGTTAGATGAAAGCAGAACCAGTAAATGTTGTTCCAACATARATAAAAAATAAAATATTTTTATCCAAACTATAGATTTCTTAATAACATGCATTACACTCAACTTAATTTGTTCTTTCTAAAGAATATGTGGTAATTTCTAATACTGTTATATGTAACTTAAGGACCGAAGAATAGTAGCTCAGGACCTCAACACTGAATTTAAATACCAGATTTTGCTGCATTATTACTACTCTACTTTCAAAACTATTTTAATTTAGGATTAGTGAGCTAAATAAGGACAAACCTTTTCTGTGATGGGCCACAYGGTGCAATACCAATTTTCTGGAACTTTTTCTGGCATTCTCCTATGTATGACATCTTTCCAATGGCAAAACCTAAGATGCCGGCAACTGTAAAGACAGATCACAAGGTATTGTTACTATATGAACTTAAATGAGGAGGCTTAACTGGCTCCTCTTTAATCTTAGTTGATCTTTTAATGAACTACATGACTTCTAATGAACTATATGTCTTCTAATGAACTATATGTCTTCTCTAAATCCTTCACGAACACATGTAGAGTTACAGTGTATTGTAGGCTTTATTTCAGTTATAATTGAAGTCCAGCTACCTGTCAGGAAACAGAGCAACCAGTCCAAAACCACATGGACAGGAAAAGGGTATTGGATTCAACTGGAATTACAAGATTCCAGGTTCAGAAGACAAGATTGCGAAGACAGCCCAAGGTGAAATTCAAGCACAACACCAGCACTTACATCCCTCGCCCTTTTATATACATTGTGGTATTTCTGAGGACCACCTTTCCAATCCTAGCTTCCCAGGATTTCCAAGAAGCTGGAACTTCAGCCTTCCACACTATCTCACTGAGGCTTTCACTCATTACAGAATCCAAACAAGAATACGGATACTTAAGTATCCTCATTTTTCTCTTGAACCAAACCATTCTCAGATGGACACAAACTTTGTTTTTTTCAGCATTTAATAGCAGTGTGATTATATGATACCGTTTGTATTTTGTTCTCATTTTCTTTAGCAACCCCAGCCTAAAATAGCCAGCTAAGATGAGCAAAATAAGCGTATGAAAGGAACATATTATTTTACACATTGTACCACCAGAGGTCCTTAATACACTAGCTGTGTCATCTGCTAAGCATGAAACATGGATGAGGTTAATGTTGTTTATTAAACAAAGATGAGATTTGAGTTTTTGCCATTTTGAGAGGATAGATCAAATAAATATAAACTGCTACAGGAAAAGTTTACATTTTTTTCTAAATGAATACATTTATTTTTATACACAGCAGAATTCTGCTTTYGTAAGTCACTGTGGTAACATGTCATAAAATCCAAAAAAGGAAGAATTTGAAAAGATATCCAGAGAGATACCTCTGCTGTTCACAAGAAAGCACAGTTATTTGAGCTTTGCAGATTGCTAGTAGATAACTTTCMTTTTATTTTAGAATAGGTCCAACTTACTTGTCATCTTAGGTAACGACCCAAGCCTTGGGTTTGCTGAGAAAATGCCTGCAATAAAATGAAATAGTTAGAATGCTTATTCACTTGGAAAAAAAAAAAAAAACCCACCAGCACTCAAAACCAGAGATGGGATTTTTCCTAGGAAGTTTTGCACTTCTGAAAGTGAAGAAGAAAAGACACAAAAAYTCTGAAGTCCTCTTATCTAGATTTAGGAACATCAGGACACATTTCACTAGCTCTTACTGCAGACCTAAGTGACACGAGGAGAAACCTCTGGACTGCACAGCATTCAGCCCACGGGGTAGTGGCTCAATGTGCAAATCACCTGACAGCAGCCTGGCTGGCTCCCCATGGTGACATGTGCAGCACGGGAGGAGAGGAGATGGGTCATGTCCCACCACAGACAAGCCTTGCAAATGTGATAGGAACTGGAATCTCTTCTTTGRTGTCTTGTTCCTTGTGCTAAGAGAAGTTAACCCAGCCTGTTCTTCAGCAGCTTTCTGCAGCCATAGACCAGAGCAGTGTTAATGTTTATTAGAGATATCTAGTCCCCTTCTCTGGAAAGGAGAGATCAGACCAATCATAGTTGTACTGATACTTTGGACCTTAAGAGGAGAATACAGAATACTGTAATAAGAAAATGGAAGATGCCCTTTGCCTTTCCCTCCAAAACCCACATTCCCCACATTAGACCTYGAGCAGCCAGAGCCACCCTGCCCCTAGGAGCACTTGTCTGCCCTGGGGGTGCAGAGCCTGGCCAGCAGAGGCCAAGCGGAGGCCGTGCTGCAGTGTCCACAGCAGGTGGAGGCTGGAGGCTCAGAGGCTGCRGCTCCTCCCAGGGGCAGCGCCTGCCAGAGGGCCACGTGCTCCGGTTGGAGCGGTGCTTATTCGGGGCTAAGGGCAAAGGCTTTGCCCACAGCCAGCTATGCAAAACCTCTGTATTTTAAGTTTGGTCTTGGTGGGTGGAAAGAAATAACATTTGCAGTTGTGAAGGCACAATAATGATYGTTGGAATGGGCATTTGCTATGTCACAGATGATCAGAAATGTCTCAGTACAATGTGGAGAAACTGAGAGGAGTATCCAGTGCCAGAGGGTGGCATATTAGCTCCTGAGAAAAACCCAGAGCCCTTCCCAGCACTACTGGCTGCTTTTCAAACATGTGTAATCCCTTCACTTCCCTGTCACAGTTTCCAACCTTGTTCCCTCCCCCACCTTTCCCATTTGCCTACAGGCTCTTAGGTTAAGAGGCAATAGGGAAGCCACAACAGCCCCTTGCAGAGCGGTGCAGCTCTTATGTTTCCTGCTCAAGTCCTGTTCATCCCGGTTAAAGAGAAAACATGAGCAGGAGGGAAACAGTAATAGCACCTGTGGCAAAGCAACCCCATAAAGTGAAAAAAGGCCGGGCCCTTCCTACCTCCTTCAGTCACTGCCTCCTGGCACCCATTGCTTTTACTGCCTGGATTCTCCACTTCTTCTTCCTCCAGGCACTAAGATTTTTCTTCCTTCCCCCCTTCCCATGAGGTAATCAGGGGCTGGTGTAAGCTAAAGGATTCTGGCTTATTTACTTCTGTGAGGTGCACCCATTTTAGCACTTTGCAGGGTAATTCTCCTCACATATTACCCAACATATTAAATTCAGCCCTATTATCAACCAAGATCCCCAGAAGGGAAACTTGAGGTGTGCTGAGGAGACCCAGGCTCACTCACTACAAAAACAGAGCACAATTCTCTTTTGTCTTACCCTGCAGAGCACAAGTCATCTCTATATAAAGCTCCCTCTCTTCCCATTTTGGCAGTATTCCTTGTCCCTTTGCACCAAAGCTGCATTCACATTKATATGTGGTCACTGTAAAAATGTTGCCAGCATTTTCCAAATAAAACAGCATTTAAAGCTACAGTACCAGACCCTGATGCCCCTGCTTAGATTTAAGGATGCTTTGCCCACCAGACAGCCCCTGTGAAGACACTTGAGTACACATGGTCACAGTGACAGATCTGGTCATTAGCCTTTGAATTCATTGAGTCTTTTTTTAATTCTTTTTTTTTTTTTTCCCCAAAAGGATGAAAGTGACAATGCATGATAGATAATGATCAAATCATTTTAACTATAAGGAGTAAGAAAAATACCAATTTCCCTTTAGGGAAATCTGCATTTCTGGAGTAATTATAGAATCTCAATTTCATAATGTAGGCCCATGTAAAAATAATTGTACATATATTTTCTATTTACCTTTCGAGACTAGGCTCTGGGTGACAAGCATGCTCCCAAGAGACAAAGGAAGAGCTGTAAAAATAAGAAGAATTAAAATCTTTGCTATCAGACAAAATTAGTTATTTATTCAATAAATACATTATTCTTTTTAATATCTCTGTAAAACCAACATTGAGTAACTTTGTCACCTATTACATCTGTTCATTCAGAATACAATCTCTTAAGGCTGAGAGAGCTGGGCCTGTTCAGCCTGGAGAAGAGGAGGCTGAGGGGGGACCTGATCAGCGTGTATAAATACCTCAAGGGAGGCAGTGAGGAGGAGGGRCCGGCCTCTTTTCAGTGGTGGCCACTGACGGGACTAGAGGAAACGGCCACAAGCTGAGGCACYAAAAGTTCCACAGGAACTTGAGAAAGCACTTTTTGACAGTGAGGGTGACAGAGCCCTGGAACAGGCTGCCCAAAGAGGTTGTGGAGTCTCCTGGAGTCGTCTCCTTTGGAGATCTTCAAAACCCACCTGGACACAGCCCTGTGCCACRTGCTCTAGGTGACCCTGTGTGTGCAGGGGGGTTGGACTGSATGATCTCTAAAAGTCCCTTCCAACCTCAACCATTCTSTGATTCTGTAATTCTGTGATTCTTCAAAAAGCAAGGATATGTTCACATTGGGCCTCCAGATGTTGTAGCATCCAGAGCTAACACATTAYATAAGCAATAGCTCCCAGCATTTTAATATATCCCTTTGATACTGTAAAGCCGGTAATGGCAGGAGCTCCAGCTAAATGCTGAAACCCATTTCAGATTTCTCCCTTCAGAAAATGTGCATTTTGTATTAAAAAAATGCAATGAACTGAAAAATCAGACACTAAAACACTGAATATCTATTCTTTTAGTTGCCTTGACAACAAATAAATCTCACAAACCCAAGGTGGGTAGTCATGCTCCTCAGTCACTGTATGGGTAGCACTGGAGTCTAAGAATCAASCTGAAGAAGCCCACTGCTGAGCTGGAAAGTCACTATCTAGACAGATGGAAATGCATCATRCAAACCATCTGTATTTTAGACTTAAAATCATGTGTTGTCTTGCCAGAAGATGCGTAAATTCTTCTTTCAAATACCAGGAAGGGGCCAATGCTTTCTTTAGAAGTACACAAACAGTGAAGTTGGGAGAATGCAAGAATGYCTGTTCTGCCTCAGGGCCCTTTTCTCCTGCAAGGGACTATTGCAGATTTGAGAAAAAGTCCTGKTTGGCCTGCACTGAGCAACTCATCTCATCTTCCCTGGAAAAAAGTTATTCTATGGAGAGTTATTCTATGGAGAGGGTTCTCTTGTTTCTTCTCATTGCAGGCACTTTTTGTACACAAGAAACTATGATGAAATCTTGCTGGACCTACTGGAGTGACTGCAGTGAAGGGCCACAAAGATAATTAAAGGAYTGGAGCATCTCATAAAAAGAGAGTTGGAAAGGACTGAGTCTGGCTGGCCTAGACAAGAAAAGGCATAGGAGGGAATCTTAGGAATGTATATAAAAAAATTGATGAGGAACAATAAAAAAAAAAAAAAGAGATTTTTTTTTTTCCCAGAAAGATAGAAAACATTAGGCACAAAACTTAAATACAAAATATTCCACTTAAGTACAAGAGAAAAGAAMAACAATACATATACACTCAATAAAAGAACACTTTAAAAAAATGTGAGCGTGGTCAGATACTGGAACAGGTAGCCTAGAGAGGTTGTGGAGGTTGCAGACATTCACTTGCGTGGACCTGCTCTAGCTGACTGGCCTCAGCAGAGGGTTTGGACTAGATCTCCAGAAGWCCTGTCAGCCTCCAGGATTCTGTGATTCTGTGACAATACTGAGCTGGAAAGCTGAAACAGTAGCATGACTGCAAAGTGCAGTGACTCGGTCACGCTCAGGAGTACCAGTCCCAGCTCCAATTTATATAYGAGTGAAACAATCTAAATACAAAGGACTGAAAAAATCAACAAACACTTCACAATTTGATGGCTGGCTGTGGCTCTCAGAGARTAGAAAATGTAGCTACAGCTGCTTTTGTGCTTGGAATGACTCAAAACTAGGATTCTCCTAACTCTTACCTCTTTAACCAAGAGGCAACTGGACAAAGAAATGAGAAAGGGTCCCCATGGGTCTTTATGTGGCATTAATTGTGCCTTATGGACTGCTGAACAGGTTCTAACCATATTAGATGGCACATGTAAAATAGGCAGGGGAACACCCATTTTAAGCATATCAGTTCAGTGCTTACAAGATTTGGACAATTATAATTACAATCCTCTCCAGCAGCAGTTGGGTTTTTTTTTTTTTTTTTTGCCAGTAATGGCTAAATACTAAATACTAACTACAGCACTGAAATTCCTTTTGTGAATTCAAGCCCTTAGGCTTGCCACCCTGCTAGCTTGATATTTCTCGGTTATAGTTGTTATAGTTCTTATTCTCCAGAGTCAACACTGACCTGCTCACTTCTTGAATACATTCATAAGGCAAGAATAATTAAATATTCCTACAATTGGTTTAATAACTGACTTGAGGAAAAGAATGTCAATTCTAAATTTATCAATACAATTTCATAGTAAACTAGCAAAAGCTAAATTCAGTTACTTTTACTTAAAATGATTACAAAAATAAGTCAATTTTATACTTGTACACTACTCAATTTAAACTTSGGTGACAGAATTAACCCACAATGATATTGCAAAAGAAAAAAAATATTATAATAAATAACAAGGCATTTTTCCACCAGTTTTGCATAAACACATCAAGCAATCATTCTCACTGAGATAAGGACAAGTTTGGCTTACTCACCTCTGTACCAGAAACTTTCCCTTCTGCATTCTTCACGGATTCTCGCAATTTCTGCATTATCATGAGTTTGTGAGATGGGACAATAAAACATTGGCTGAAATGATAATCCTGGGTTAGTTTACTGAATTCCACCTCACAAGAAAAAAAAAATCACTGTAAGAAGATAATTAAATAATTTTAAACACAAAGTGCAATGCAAAAAAAATCTAAACAATCAAAAGTTAGTTTTTTTGGCAGTGTGATAAAATACTTGATAACCTAATAAAGAAAAAAAATTACACAGATTTAAAATTAAGTTATTCACCCTATTGGCCTATACTTTCCAAAATAGTTCAGTTGTTAGTTCACCTCTGAAGTATATTCCCATATTCCTCTCAAACACTTTATTCTCCTGACTTATATCAGCTTCTGGAACAGAAATAATAAGGAACAAGGGCAGTGTGGGAGCTTATACAGACTAAATTCTGTCCAGTACAGAAGCTAAATGAAGTTCAGTAAAAGTAGATTTTGAAAGTATTCAAAAAAGGATCAACATAAGCTCTGTCAGACTCCTTTGGGCTATTTTTTTTTCTCTATGCAGTTTGTATATACTCATGTCATTCACTGTACTCAAACAGACTGGCTTAATTTTTGTAACAATTAGTTTGCCAACAAGTTTCTTTTAGGTTTATGGTAGTTGTTTTTTCCTTTTGCTTTGAGTGGAAGAAAAAAAAAGTATCACTATTCTCTCACATATTCTAGTATCCACAGTATGGATATTTGGTTATCAGTTGTTATTTTCTATAAGAGGTGATCAGTTTGGMATGTATATATCATTTGGTTATTTAAATAAGCAGAATAATTCTTACTCCAAAAATTTTCCTCCCATTTATCTGCAGCAGCCATTATCATGAGTCAAAAATAGTTGAAATTTCAGTGCTTTTCTGTAGAACTGCAGCATTTACAAACTTAACTGTTCTTGAAAGTAAAAAAAAAAAAAAAAAGGACTTCAGAGAACAAACAGTACTTTGGGAAAAGAGGACATTAATCTAAGAGCATGATTTTGCAGCTATAATAACGAAATGCATTTATTGGCTGCAATCACACATTTCACTCTAAGGTTATGCAAGTTAATGGTTGCACTGCTTTGGTAAGAACTGACYCCAAACTAGTTTCACAGCAGGGTCATGAGGCAGAACATGAATTTTGCTCATACAGCAAATACAAAACARCCTGAACTGGCTAAGAGAAAGATAACTAAATGAATGCCGGGGTCCCAAGTGCACAAACAGGCTCTGCAACCTCTTATCCTCCACAAGAAASCCGGCAGAAGTTCAGCTGCTTCTGCTCAAGGTCAGTTCTAAGCACAGTTGTGTAACCTTCAGTTGTCTTCAGTGACAGCAGCTAACCTGGGAGAAAGAGCKGGCAGAAGCTTTGCCCCAGATTGCTGCTGTTCGGCTCAGGAAGCTGTATTTAATCTCAGGACTTTGCCTGAACTGTGTTGTAGGTGAGACTGCACCTTCCTTTTGACACAATGAGCCACCCTGACTTGCTGCCTTTCCCTCAGACCTGCCCCATTGCTAACACTGAATTGTTACCAGAGTCAACCAACATCACTGGACCTGTTCTCCTTCTCTCTTTTGGGCACTGTGGGACTGTGTCCCTGTCAACCACTGCCCCTGCCTCCCTCATGGACACCCCATCCCTCAAATGATCAGCCCACGTTGGCTGCTGACAGTGGGTGGTTATCCCCATGGCCATACCACATCAAAATTCCCTTTGGTTTAGGGAATTAGCATGTGCTCACAGTATAAAGCAGAAAAATCTATTCCCTGCAGCTAGCTGATTTTTTCAGCAGAGGAGAATGTTCAGCTTCTGTAAAGGACTGAGACATATTCTGGTGCAGCTACAGTTCCCCTCGCTGCTTTTGAACACACACACCTCACAGTGTCCCACAGTGGGACAGGCTATACTAAACTAGGGCTATACTCTGTTTAACTAGGTCTTAACCAGTCCTTAACTAGTTCAAAACACCTCTGAAACATTCCCATTTGGCATAAATTACAGACCACTCCTAGGGGCCTGAGAATCGAAAGTTCCCAGCCCTCTGAGTGCAGTGAACAAGCAGGAGTAAGAGACAGCCTTTTCTTCTCYGTGTTTATGTGCCTAAGTTAACAGATATGTTGATCTCTTCAGCAAGAATGAGAATGCAAAGTCCTAGTTAATTCTTAACAATAGCATCAAAAAGAAGAAAGGCAACCCAACTTACCCATCCAACTTGCTTTAGTGGGGCTGCTTGATTTTTCTCTGGGGTTATTTCAGAAGACATTGCCTCTGTCTCCCTTGTCCTCCTTCTTTGTTAGCAGTCTTGGCCAGCAGGAGTGGCGTGTTGTATGCTTCTTTCTGCTAGGTACAAAGGTAAAAAGCCGAAGTATCCAGTTCTTATATGAAGTTCAATATTTACCTAGGAATGGTAACACCCACATTGAAAGGTTTTTGCAGCAGATAACATTCAAAGCACTTCATTATGCATAGTTTAGAGCATAGTGTATCATTCATGAGCAATATGGAGATGCATGGAGCCTAATTCAAGCAGGAAAATAAAATAATATGCTGGATCATGATAAAGCTTTCAGCCACAGAGAAATGAAAATAAATCAAAGCAAGTCATCTCAAACCTTCCCAGTTGTGACTATAGTGAAGGTGATTCAGCCTCTTTAGTGCATTGTGCAAAATCGCTATGCGCTGCATTAGTTCCACCCTCATTCCCAGAGTCAGCTTTGATTCTATGGGACCAGAAATGTAAACCTATCATAAATCAAATCTGTGTCTTCCACAAACACAGTACAGTTACTATTATGATTTTAAAAGCATCCAAGAGAAACAGATTCCAAAGAGCTTTAGAAAAATATAACACTTTAAAGAGGTCTATGTCAATCAAAGGTGCTAAATCCTCATATTCTTACCTGCTCAAGACCTGTTCAAGCCTGTGCAGAGAGTTATATAAAACGTGTCACTGGACTAGATCTACTACTGACTGATAGAATTTCTAACTGCTGCAGCAGTTAAGTGCCGCATTTTTTTTTCTAAGGATAAAAAAGCTGAGTCATTGGGGAAAWAAACAGTACAAAAGACTATTTGAGGTGAAGTTGTTATGACAACTTTCAGCTTGCCATTAATTTCCTGTATTGCCTTCGCAAGACATTCAGATACATTCCCACTTCAACACAGTTAAGAGTCCTCCAAATAAGAAGACTTTTCAGTAAATCCCCAGTACTCTTCCCGCTTAAGATGAAAGTGCTACTGGCAAGAGTAAGGAAAAGGGACAGGGCTCAGGTCATCAAAATATTATTGAAATGAATTATTAGTATTTAGCACACATAGTGCCTCCTAACTGAGGAAGTTAAGAGTGTCCTGGTATTTTGGTGCTTTGGAAAGATAGAAAATCACCACTGCAGAAAAATAACTTTATTTGCATCAACCCATTGGAAAAAACCAAACCAAACCAACCAAACAAAAAAGACCATTTGTCTTTTTTTTTCTTATTTTGAATATAATATTATTCTCTGTTAGAGCAGGGGGGTTGGTCYCTCCTAACCTCAACCATTCTATGATTCTGTGATTATCATTGATTTATAATCATCAAAATTATCATTTTCTGGCTCTAACTATGTAACTATATATAGTTACATATAGTTATATATAGTAACTAACTATATAACAATTAATTGTATGTACTCTTAGTTGGCTTGTGCCTGGGAAGAATTCMTCTGCTATGTAATACTTTTATCCAATTGAAATATTTAAACCCTATTAAATCAGTGTGATCTGTAAGGATCAGCTATTTGAGCCATTAGTTTTTCTATTCTGTAAGAACTTCTATGGGAGTCATTTATAGAAGAAACAGATAACAAAGGACTCCTGAGAGATTTCACATTTTTTATTCAACTAGTTGATAAGGAAGCAGCATGCAGGAAATAGGCTTTTTATTATTGTTGTTTTGCTGTTGTTGTTTTTTGGTCTTAGGCTGGGAGAACTGCCACTTTTATATCATTTATTTTCAGTTTAAGAATCCTCCTTCCAAATTGTAAGGGTGGCCACACTGAAACTTCTGAGGTTACTTAGGGAGGAAGGTGAAGGCAAACCCAGCACTTACCAGCATTACCAGTACACACATTTCACTATGTGCAGAGCTTTTGCCCCAGGGCAGGAGCTGCTGGTAAAATAACTATTACAACAAGTTCAGCCCTGCAGAGAGGCTCCTTTGTGAAGGAGAAGGGAAGCCTCACTATGATATATCAATGTATCGCATAGTCCTTCTGAAGTTTATTGTAAAAGAAGGCCCGTATTTTGAAGGAGGGCTCGGGTTTTGGCAGGAGAGGCGCCACGCGCTGCGACGCCTGAGGCCCCGGGCGAGGCGGTGGCACCGCGGGCTGCGCCGCCATCTTGCGGCCATTGCGGGGCCATTACAGGCTGCTCCTGGAAACAGAAAGAAAGAAACCACATAAACTTGCTAACAGGATTCYTTCTGGGGACTTAAATTTCCCAAACGAAATGCAGAATGTTATTTTAAAAGTGGTGCTTGTTAAGAAGAAGTTAGCAGCCATCTAGCACAGTGCTGTGTGATGCATCCGTTCAGCTTCTTCCAATGTCTGGAGAATGGCTTGGAAATCTGCCAGAGAATAAAAGCACCAGTGAATTGGAAGCAAAATAGTTGGTGGGAAAATAATTGAATTTTGTCCTTTAAAAATAAATGTGTTTGTTTTTTATTACTTAAGAATAAAAATTTGATTGTGGATACTATGATACTGACATAATAAATATACTTCAATGTCAGCATCAGCAAGAAGTAAACAGAAATTGAGAAACCCATCATCAACAAGTGCTTCTAATGTTTATCTTGAAATAAAAAAGCTAGTAAGACCTGCCTGCTACACTGCCCTGTTTTTCATGACCTCAGCATCTCTGTTTCATGGTAACCATGACAAGAAGGTGATGGTTCATTTTTGTAAGCCCGGAGAGGCTGCCAGCCTCCGGGAGTCTTGGATGCATGAAGCTCCATCTCCTCGAGTATCATCTGTCTCCTGCCACCCAAGTGGGACCATCGAGATTTACTGTGGCAAAATGCCCTCTTCACATGGGGCTTAGCAAGGATGATGTCTTAAGCCAGCTGTGTGAAAACAAATTAAAAATTCTCTATAACTCCTGTAATAAGAGAGTCCTGGAATGGCTGTCTCTTCTCCGTGTTCCTGCAAATAGTGGTTTCTTGGATCCTTGTGCCCTCCTGTACAAAAATGCCTATTAGAAATCAGGTTAGATTTCTTTTTAATGTGACTTTGAAAGGAAAGTGGGTTATTACAATTGACTTAGTATATTCTGCAAGCAGTCTTTAGCCTCATCATTAAGCCCAACACCTTAGTGTAAATCAGAGCTATGAAAATGAAGAGAAGCTGGTGCACAGAAACTAATAAATGTTATTGCATCAAAATAATAAACACAAACCAAAAGAGAGAGATCCTTTCCCATTTCTCGCCTCCGAGCACAAAGCTAACCTTACACATCAAGGAACAGAACGAGACATAYCGAAAATAAGACAACCAGTAAGGAGTTGAATGCTCAGCTGTGGACTTCTCTGTTGTGAGGGTAGAGGAGGTTGGATGATGTGAGGCTGCACAGACCCGGGCAAGGCACAGAGGCTCTGCGGCTGCTTGGTCAAGGAGTCCAAAGGACCTTTTAGAAAACGCTGCAGGGTTGCCAGGTTGCCTGAGCTTCACTGTGTGCACCAAGCACAGACCCTTCCCGGTGTGTATATTAAAGACTCCATGTGTGCACAAAGCACAGGAGAGAGGAGGAACTAGTGTGTGAAATATGGCTGTTTATTTCTTAGGCAAACACAGAGAATGTTAATTGGTTAGAAAATCCTTGAGAAGCAAAGACCTGGAATAATGCAAGCACAATGTGGTAAAAAAAAATGTAGCAATATGAAACTATTTAGAGCATGGAAAACTGCMTCAGAATTACACTGTAGGGCACTGTTTTCATACTAATGGGAACAGGAGTTAAGAATGAATTCAAAGAGAGCTTTCCTGCTACAGCGGAAACTGTCAACATGTTTCTGAGTACAATATTAGACTCTGTCTTCATTTCCAATAAACTTTGTAATAGTTTTCTATGTTCTGGTTTATTATCTGATTCCCGGATATGTTCTATATCTGGTCAGTCTTTCAGTTGAGATGAATGGCTGCTCTCTACCAGGTTTAAGATTTTCACTTCCCACTGTGAAGAAGTCAGTGAAACTTCCACCGAGTTTTCTATTCTTTTAGGCTGCAAGGCTGTATGCATAATTTCTTCTCTACAGTAAAGACCTGCATTTCAATGGGGTTRTAGCTGCTCAGCCCCTGTAATAGTCAGACTTACTTGTACCTGACATTTCTAATGCATATTAAAGTGAATCAGGAGTTCTTGCACAGGGTACATTACTGGAATTCCTCTGGGGTAATGTTAGCATGTCATGTGCCACAGTTTATTTTACTGAGAAAAGTCTTTGGTGAGAGTTGCAGTATTTGTTAGTCCTGCCTTGTAGGGCTAATTTCCAGGAGATGGAAATAAGCCCCATCTCAGCCTAGGCTACAGTATTTTGTAAGCAGCATACCGTAACCTTGAGAAAGCAACCATCAAATCTATTTAATGTTTATGAGTATGAATATGTATATGTAGTTTTGCCGAGTAGTGGTAAAGGTAATGATTAAGAAATTTAAGACTGTTGTGCAAACAGAGTAGGTACCTAATGACCTGCAAGTCTCTGTGCTTCTACCATGACCGTGACAAGCGCCCAGCCAGTAAATGTAAGCTCAGCCACTCCAGCTTTTGCAGTCATGTTTTTGGAATTCATTTATATCTACTTTTATGCCATTTTTCTCCACTTCTCTGGCATTTTCCCCTGCTTCTTAATTATACCCGTTAAGGCACATGGACAATATTGAGAGCAACTTCCTCCACCTTTGTAGTGACCAGAAAATCTCACTATAGCAGTTTTTGCTACCAGCAAATTGGTTTGCTGGTAGAACATCTACCAACACTATATTGGTTTTGCTGGTAGAACATCAACGGATTTCTATGTAAGTGAAATGCTATTGTATTATCAGCTACACACTTGGTACTTTTTTTTTCAAAATTTGGCACATTATTTGGCAAAATAAATAAATAGTGAAAGGCATTCCTATTCATATGTATGTAATCAAATCACTTGTAAGTATTAAGATCTTGTGTTTATGCTGTTTTTACTTGAAAGAACATCACACGTGAAAACTCCTTCTTATGCTCAGAAGTGTTCTGCTTGCCAATTCCATAGGCATAACTAGAACATAACTTCATGTTAGGTTTGAAGCCAAATCTAGCAGTTACTAAGAATCTCAGAGAAAATAGAATAAAATGCCTAAATTCGTCACATGTTGCATTATTTTCAATGAGTTTAGTGGAAAGCAGACAAACAGCATGTTGTCAACTTGTTGATTCCAGTCCTGTCTAGTTTTACAGGAACTCCACCTGTAGAACATGGAACAAGATACTGTGATTACAAAATGTACTGCAAAATTGTGTCAGATACTTTGCATGAGCATATGTCCTGTGAGCATGATACTCTTGCCACGCTTTCGCTACACAAAAACAGYCGTGTTCTGGGAATCAGTGCATCTCATTTACTCAGGCTACAGATCTGGATGTCTGTGTTTCATGTGTGCCATGCCACAGCGGGATGAAATGGTTTCATTATGCACATAATCCTTAACCTGCAGTACTCGGTGGCATTTCTGGGATGACTTTCCTTTCAGTAGGTCACATAGAACTTGGAGGAAAGAAAGTCATTACATCTCTGTTGTCATCCCTTCTCTTTCCCTAGAGAGGTTTTTTTTTTTTCTATCAAAATATTTAAGTTCTTTTGTGGATGTTTGAAATATCAGCATGTTTTCAAAGCATTAACCAAAATTTGAAGGAAATTTTATGGTTAGTCAAGCCTCATTGGACTGCAGGGTAGATGAATAGATCCTGATAAATAGATCATTCTAACTTTATTATGATTTTTTTTCCCCTAGATAAGCTTGAAGTGAAAAGTAAGGTTAATTGAGACGACAAAAAATGGTGGCAAAGCAAGTGTGGCAGAGTTGTATGGATAACGGTGACATAACGGTGAACATTGTGTGATGTCTGGTGAGGTCCGTGCTTTTGTTTCAGTGATTTGACACCAGCTTATTGTGCTGTCAGTACAGTCTTCATCCCACCATGCTCTCTAGTTCATGACCATTACTCTGCCGTTCCTGCCACACGTATCCAAAGGGCACGTTACGGTGCATCAGCACGGCACTGCCCCTTCTGAGGCACTACACTATTTATCTGATCATATAGCATGACAATATAAGTGACAGGTAAGCACAGTGACTGACTGACTGCTTTAAAAAGTGTAAAAAAAACCCCAGTGACCTCCAAAAGCTGCAAAAGCCCCGTCGCCCTCCGAGGGAAGGGGCGCGGGGCGGCCGCGGGGAGGCGGCCGCGCGCCGGGGCC